TGCGGCGGCCTGCTTCTCCGCCATACACCACATCCGTGCATGAAGCGACCTCGCCTTTCCTTCTCTCTCGCAAAACGCTGTTTTCTTTGGAGCCTTTTGTTCTTTCCCGGTGTAGATGTATGCGCCTCACTTCGGGACGCATGGTCCTTCATCTAGCCACTTCAAGTGTTTTTTTTTCTTTCCTTTATGTAGGCCTTTTCTTTGTCGCTATTTATATTCCGGTACAAATAGGCGAGGAAGCGCGAAATCGGGAACTGCCGATGCGTCGTTTGTATTCCTCAACCCACACCCCTTTCTGCGCCCTCAGAGGGCTATCGGTCTACGAAATCTGGAACGACTACTCTCCCGCAAAGCACTTGAGAGGGCCAATCGCCGCAATGTGCGGACGGAGCTCGGCCAATCACGGGGCTCGTGTTGTCTTCGGACCCAAGGAACCATTGTGACATTGGTCAGGGTGAAAACGCTACGCTCGGTGCCACAAACTCTTTACGCCTTTTTGACCTATCGGCGATGGAGGTATTGGCGTGCTACACCGCTTCTTATCCTGATGCAGTAAGAAAAGGGAACGACCTTGTTGAGTAGATTGCAACAACCCTTGCATTCATGTGTGCCTTACTAGACGTTGCCAAGCTAGACAAGACAGTAATATCAACAAAAGCCCAACGATGGACAAAAGGTCAGCTGATCAAACATCCCCCCTTTTTTTGTTTCTGGCACGTGAGAAAAAAAACAAAAACATTCAGAACGAAACAGAGTCGGAGTCTACAGCGCCATTCCTCGCCATGCTTCGTATATATATATATATATATATATATATATATATATATATATATATATATACGTGTAGTAACACGTGTACTGGTAACGTATTGGGTATTCAAGTTTGACTTTCAACTGTCCAGTTCGTGTGTCACGCTATAATGACTTCGATCTATGAGACAAACGAAGCGAATTCCTCCGCTCGGATTATTTTTAATCAGAAAAGCGGAAACCGGCGTGTTCCCCGTGCCCGTCGCCAGCCCGAACGCTCGCTAACAAGACTCCGATGAGCGCGTTTCAACGTCGCTGTGTCGTCTTTCGCAGCATGCAGCTGCGCTACAAAAATAAATCACTCGTCGATTTTGCGCCGGGGGATATAGTCACCGCTTTAAACGGTAAATCAGCTACGCGTTCTGTTCTTTCGATCTTTCAAATGGTACAGCTGCCTGATCGCCACTCAAGTATCTCATCTTTTTATTTCCAAAACGAGAAAAAGTGGTAAGAAAAAGAGAGTTTTCATTTCAGTCGTTTCTCTATCGGGAATTCGCTGCTCTTTAAAGAAAAAAAAAATATAGATTTAGAGAGTTTAGTGACTAATTACAGTTTAAAAGAACAAACATTTTGGTTGAACAACTTTGAATAGAATGTGATCGTGCGTTCGGAGGGCCACACGACTACAAAACAAAAGGCATTGAGTGCCGGCACCGCATCTTATCCTGATGAAGGGGCCACGAAGAGAGGCTATAGGTTCCAACTTTGCAAAATGTGTATTGTGCAGTAGCGTGACTTGAACATACGGATCTAAACATAAGGCTAGTCGGTTAGATACTTCAACTAAATGTCGTAACTAAAAAAAGAAGGACTTTTTTTTTTTTTTTTTTTTGAATGGGGAAGTTTGCTACTGTGACCTTGACGTTCGGGTTTCGTGTAGGATGACGCTTCAGATGCATTACGCGATTTTAGTATTTCGACGCGAACAAAACCCGCGTGTGTACCGTCAGGACACTATACTCCGTTTCACCTTAGGTTGTACCGCAGCGAAGGCTATAAGCGCGAGCTCATAGCGTTGGCAGCTGCCCTTAATGCACGAGAGCTTGTGCCGCCGAGACTGTGCCCTAGAGCAAGGACCTCGCGCTTGTAGCCTTTTCTGCGGTACATCATAAGGGGAAATAGAGTATAGTGAGTTTGGTGTTGCGTATACGAGCGAAGGCAAGCCCCTCGTTGCGTGTTTTATACTGCGCGTGCGCGGGGCACGCAGCTCCAACGCATAGATCTTGCGTTTGCTGCTACACGCAATACTAAAACTCTCTATGTATACGGACGAAATGGGCTTTCGTCATCTTTCGGCATATGGACGGAGGGGAAAATGACGACGAACTTACGCGATTATCGGGCAAAATAGTGAGGGGAACGTCAGCGCAGTCTGAAGAACGAAGTCGGATAGCAGTCTGAAACTCCTTTAGCCACGCTCTTATCTGCTGTCATCGTTGCTGCCACCTTAAGAAGCGTGCGGCGTGGCGATTTCCCCAGCTCCTTCTTATCGCTCCAAATCCAATCAGATGGTTTCACGCACCTATAAGAGCGCCCAGGAACGAATTTCGAAGCAAGAGGCGTAAACGTATACTAAGCGACGCCTTGCCGATGCGTGGCGCCGTCCCTCCTGTTTTACCTTCTCATGGAGGCACGGAGCCACGTACACGGGCGAGCGAACGGAAGCGTAGCAAATAGTCGGCAACGAGTCATTGTGACTGCTCCAGATTGACAGCAGCTATTGATCCGGGCTGCCGGGTCGGCGATGGACCCATCCACGGAACGGGGTCTCTCTTCATTCCCATGCAGGCATCGGGGAGCTCTTAATCCGTGCTCTTTATGCTTGTTTGCGATATCTTCAGAAGGCGCGCCTTCCCTGCCCGGGTCTTCTCGTGTTTACGCTTTTTTCTTCTTCTTGCCCATTGAGCGACGCCAGTCAGCCGTTTGATTCGAGCACAATACGCGCGAGAGGAACAACCCTTTCCGTCTGGATGGGTGCCGGGCGTTCGTTGACTTTGACCGCGGACCCATTTGAGCGTCGCGTCTTCTAACGACTGGCAGCGATCTAGGCCTATGCCGTCTCTGCTGCGTCTGCAAAACTGCTGCATCCATAATTCTACGAGGAGTTTGTGCGCCGCTCTCAGTTGAGTATTTTTTTTTGAAGACGACAAGTGAGGATATTTTACTCGCCACTTCAGCAGCGGAGGTACCGCGGTGTGAGCTTTGCGCTCTTTCATTCGTGGATGATTGGATTCACAATAAAGAAGCTTGGTGCTTGCACCTTCGTGACATCAGAATAGGAACATAAGCCTCCAATATATCGCTCGTATTTAACACGGTCCAATTCGCCTACGTGTCGCAGTCCTAAGTGCTGTTCTACGTCGAGCATCCAGATGACAGCCATATTGATTAACGCCGTTGTGCCCTTTATAGATATGTCGGGAAAGTGGACCCGTGTTACGCATAAACGCTAATGCCATTTTTGTTGAGGGGGATTTGTGTGGTCGGCGTATGAGTGCGAACGTCGCGCGTGGAACGCTCGCCGCTCCAGGAGGGGCGAGAGCTGATTCGCCGAAAAATTGCCATTCCATATAAATTACGTTAATTTCGCCCTGTCTCATGGACATTAGACTGTATCGCTGATGAAAGTCCCAGCGTGGAAAAAATACAGCTCGCCAGCACTCTGAAGAAAAAAGGGTGTCAAAAGGTGTATTCTTACACGCTTTGTCTCATATAATACACCCCAGAATTTCAATTCGACGTACAGTGCCCTACAGTCGAACAGAGGGCCCGAAACTTTACGAGGGGCTTAATAGCCATGTGGTACAACATTTTAAATACCTAAAGTACGCATCAATGACCATATAAAGAAAACACAGAGTTTTTACAGTAGGGCCAAGAAAACCCGTATTATGTTTTTCGTGTTCAGTAACACGTACATTAGCTATTTCAATAAGTTGGACCACACGGCTATCAAGCCCCTCGTATAATTTGGGCCGCCTGCTCGACTGTAGGGCACTGTATGTCGAAGTGGAGTTTGGGGGTGTATTATATGGGACAAAGGGTGTAACGATACACCTTTCGACACCCTTTTTTCTTGAGAGTGAGGGATGAGCCATCCAGTCTGGCAGGCGAGCATATAGGAGCTGCTCAATGCATCAGCACGCGAACGTGCTTGTTTTGTGGCCAGAAGTGGGCAGCCGGTGCCATTTTCAGTGTTCTTGCGCGCCGGACGTGCCCAGTGCCGTACCCGGAGGATAAAAATCTTCCAAATTCGTGCGTCTTACTACTGCGTCAGGGCCAGGGGGATATTTGCTTGACTCACATGGTGCGATATTATTTGGGATTGCGCAGTTGCGATGACATCGCTCGTGCAAAGAAAAAACAAAGAAAGCGCAGTGAAAGCGGCGATGGCCGATGTCGCAGATGCGAAATCGAAATAAAGATCCCACCATGTGAATCAGGCTTTCGACATCGGTACTAAGCCCCCAGCCGCGAGTCAGGAACTTGGTCTTTATCAAAGCAAAATTTGCTTGGAGACAGGATTTCTTTTTTTTTTTTTTTTACGGACTTTTTAATTTGTCCGGAATCTCCGCAACTACTGGAGACAGTTTAGACCCCAGCTAGAACGGAAGCAAATATCGGTGCTTGACTCGTGTACGCGTTGAAGACCTCGGTGAACTTTTGAGTGATGTTAACGAACTATGAGCTGGCCGTCAAGTTGACATCCTCGTTTTAGTTGGTATTTAAGCTTTGAAACATATATGAGGATGAAAAGGTAATCTTCCGAGGTTCTATTTTTGTATTTACTCGTCGCTGTGACGTTTACTGGCGGCCGGAGTGCACCGAAGACTCAAAAGGTCCAGAGCAGATCTCATAGTGACCGATCGCCAGTAAAACGCGGTACGTCGATCCAAACCTTGTAGTTTCCCAAGAACGCTTCACGTGGATTTGGAACATGTTGATTTCGGAGGTAATGCAACGAAGTCGATCTGAAGCCTCCTTTCTCCGCGCAAATTCAGCATCATTTACATCATTCACACGCGGTTTTATCAAATGCGGAAACGAATTTCCCGCACATATATTGAAGAGCCATGCTTTACGACCCTTCCACGTTTAATGGCCGATTCACGGCTAGTGATCAAAACGGTCGCGGATCGTCGTGGTTGTCTGCGTTTGCTCGAGCCCCGTGCCCTGCCTTCCCGTTCCAGATCCCGAGCGCGGAGCGGCTGCTGGAGCTGCAGCGGCAGTTTGCCGACAAGGAGCGCCTTCTGCAGGAGTCGCAGGCACAGGTCTGCCTCAAGCTGCACGAGGCGGAGGACAAAATCTCCCAGCTGGAAAGTGGTCAGTTCTCGGTCACATTCATCCGTCGCCACTATATATCTGCGCTGCTGTTCGGGCGGGGCAACATCGAGCCAGGAATTGCGTGTTGGGCTCTGGCCTTTTCGGTTCTCCCTATTCGCCTCGAGATCGAACCGTGTCGCCACCGTGCGGCCGAAATTGGAAACGCGCGAAAGCGGGGATACCGCCGTGCGTCGTCTGCTACGGGCGCAGGCTCAGAAGCTTGGATCTCGACGACGCAAGCCCGTTTCAGGCTGAGCTTGACATTCTTATTAAATGTTTTATGTTTTTGTTGCCGTTTCTTCTTACTAAGGGTTGTGTTGTATTGTTTCCCATGCGTAGAAACTCAGCAAAGCGATTATTATTAAGTCGGAAGCTTCCATAATCTTAGTGTGTTGGTTTGTATACAATCGCTGGTCCCGCGTATTTTTGTTATCTCGCAAAATCCGTGGCTTTCATAAAGCATTGAGTGTTGAGTGGGTCTGTAGTTTGATTAGAAAATTAACCCGACTGATCGCTATCATTTAATAGACTAATCAATCAATAAATCCGTATGTTGATTTTTCGCCGGTCATCTTGCGTGAAAGACGCTAAAACTGCACATTTTTTACTGGTTCTACTATGCCATAAATGGCATATTGCATTCCCATTCTAAACTTCACGTTGTGAGTCCTTTATAAGTAGGAACACGCACGGGAAGCCTTTTAAAATGAAGTATTTTTTAAGTTTGCATTTAAACAGTATAATCACCCTCGGTGAAATGACAAGCACGCTGAAGTGGTTTACCGTGCAAGCCTGTGTCACAAAAGAAATAAAGACGTCAAAAATATCAAAGCAGGCATTTTTTACTCCTTGTTGACTTTCTCCAGCACAAGACTCCAATTAACCGGCAAAAGAAAATGCAATTAAAGCATTCCTTGAATACTCTGAAAGTTAATCGATGAACTGCCCAGTCCCGATATACGTTAGGTGAGGGCGGAGGGTGATCGGAAAGTCTCGTGAAGGTCGCTAGCCCTCATCAGTAAAAGAGTATCACTGCGGCCGATGCTGTCTGTGTCGTGGTGCGCGTCGTTTGTTGGGGTTGCAGAGTCTACTGTGTTTGAATACAAGATTATTTAGCCAGAAATTTGTAGTATTAGCCTCTTGACATCCGCGGCCCTCACCAAGAAAATTGAAGCGGGTGAACCCACACTCCCGAGAAAAGCATTTAATAACAGGAACATTGCTGCGCTGTTTGGTTACACTTGTTTATTACAGTCACGGCAGATATATTAGAACAGTTTGTTTCACTTGCTTCAGTTGTCCTACCAACCGTGCGGTTTGCAGATCTTAACTAGAAAAGACACAATCTCCTCATCGCAACGCAGTAGATTTGTTCAGACCACTGTTTCAGACTCCAAAAAACTTACCCACACTATGGCACAGCTAGTAAACGGCAGAGGAACTCAATAGCATGGTGATTTCCAATACAGCGCTAACTTATCTTCATTCTAAATATTTATATTACTGCAAAAGCCAAAAGTAAAAAAAAAAAAAACAAAAAAAAACATAGAAGCTGCGATTTCACAGCCCACAGTACCAGTATTATGTTATCTGAGTTGGAATTTATTGTTTCTTTTTGTTTTTTTTTATTCCCACGTTGATCAACCGATACATCTATTTTAAAAGAAACAAATATTTAACATAAATATTTAAGTTCAGCCGGAGACAGGCATCAGTCGTGGTGATCCATGATTTCCAACGTCTGCTTAGAGCAGACGACGCACCCACAGAAGCGATTATATAAATTTAGGCCGCACGCTGGCAACACAATTCGATCTTCACTGAAGCACCGAACAGTACCGCATCCTTTTCCGCTAGAATTGTTTTCCCACCGATAGTATGCGACAAAATAAACGCAAGAATCTACACCGCCTGGCGCGCGAACGTGGAGAGCCTATGGGGCGGCCGTTCTCCTATCCCCGCTTTGATGATGATGATAGCGCGACCGTAGCGCTACCTCTAGGTCGATCTCGAGGCCAATAGAGAACTAACTGCAACCAGACCGTTTCGAGTTCGTTGCTGTGTTTTGTGTCCACGCTGCATATCGTATGGTGTATCGCGAGCACACTGATAGAACAGGGAGACAGTAGAGAGAGTCTTGGGAATTTGTTCCTGTACCTCCTATAACGGTATCCGATAACGACTCGATGCTTGCGCAAGGGCGCCTGCGAAGTATTGGGTATCCCTAATGAGCCAGAAACTTAACTTTACTCGCCATGTTCTTGCAAGCGATGCGCATTTGAAGCAGGGAAGTTGTGCTTATAGTCTTCGCTGTTGGGCACGTCAAAATGTAGTAGGAGTTTCAAAGAACAGCCGCCAGAAGTCGTTTTGTGGGGTGGAAATGAACGCTAGAAACAAATACAGCCAGAACTTTTTTTTTTTTTAGGTGTAGAAAATTTTGTTTGCAAACTTCCCTATCAAAAAATCTAACTTTTTTTTTTTTTTTTTTTTTATATATATATGCATGGAGCAAGGTATTGCGTTCTGTTTGCACGTTCAAAGCCCGAACCTGGTGCAGCCACCTCTCGAGAAAACACAGGTTTTAAGAGGTTGCAGAGTCGACCTCGGCTCGGACATGCCGTCAGTAGGCTTTAGAAGGCGAATCCCGCGTGGGCTTATTATTGACATCTGCGGCAGCAGCGACCCGCGCAGCAAGTGCCTCTCTCCCCCTCGCCTCTTCTGTGCGTTACGTGGGGCAGTGAATGCGATCGGGTACTCCGTTACACCCTGCGACGGACCGCATCAGACGCCACGAGCCATATCCCAGCCAACCCAATGCCGCGAACGCGCCCCACGTGATCAGGCGCCCCGCGCCTGGCTACGTCCCTCCCGAAGCTCAAGTGACACTCCCACGGAGTGGGATTCGCGTCGAGGGTTCGCGGTGTCCTGCGCGGTCCATCGGCGGCAGCGCGCGTCGTCCTTCAACCGGTTCGCCGGCGCTCATCGGCGGTGGCGACGGCCCTGGCACCGCGGCGGTCCCGGAACAGCCATCAATCGGCGAATCTTCTTTCTGCGGGCTGCCAGGCGACCGCCGTCGCAGTCACAATACGGGCGGCCTGGAAAAGTTCCGCGAATCGGCCTGCATGCCGGCTGCCTTGAGCTGCGTCAACGCCGGACTGGGCCATACCCCCCGCGCGCGCTCTCGGTCGGAAATAGACCGTCGGCGCTGTCAATTCGGTTCAATGGTTCCTTGATGAGCCAGTCAAACCTCGTTTCGCAAGCGGGTTCCCTTCGAATGCAGCATCTTCGGGACTGCGCTCGGAGATAGGGTTCGTCGCTTGATATGGCGTGGCTCGAAGCGATATCTGACGCCATTATAATGGAATGACTAAATAGGAGCGAATACAACGCTGCATAGATACAGCTTTACGCGTCATCCTCGTAAGAGTGGAAGATGTATGGTACGATATGCACACGGGGCGACGCTGTTCGCGCGAATAACCAATGACAAGCTGTTTATTCTGTTTCCCCCTAAAATTGTGGACCTGCCGAAAAACAACAACCAATGTGGGGTAAAGTTCCCATCCAGGGAAGTAACTTGAGCTCTACTGTTTGTTGCCGATCATTACATCGAGTAAAATGCAGAAAAACGTCGGCGTTATGTTCGCGCAGTTTGCGTATCAGGATGACCATTAATTTTTATTGGATTTCAAAAAGCATTTGATAAAGTACCGCATCACCGGCTCCTTCTTAAATTACGCGCTTTCCTAATTGAACCCCCGTAAATCAAAGGATATCAAATTTTCTTTTCAACCGCTCGCAAAGTATTCGCTATAATCAGGAATGCTCATATCATCAGAAAATCAAATCAGGAGTACCACAAGGGACCGTGCTGGGCCGCCTATTTATTCTTTTGTACGTCAATGACCTGTCGACTAATATCCAATCAACCATTCGTTTGTATGCTGATGATTGTGTAGAATGTAGAAAAATATACAGTATTCATGATGGAACTCAACTTCAAAAGGACTTGATTAGTGTGGAAGATGAGTGTAAAAAGTGGCAGATGCATGTAAATATTTCCAAAACAAAACAAAATAAATACGCCGAACGCAGTCGCATTTAGCTACTTGCGCTCTGATGCACCCGTTGAACATGTACACACATAGAAATATAATGGGGCTTCTTAAGAGGAACACTGCACGTGGCCAATCGGGAAACAAACTCTCAGCGTACATCGCCCTCGTCCGCGCTCAGCTAAAATATTTTTTTTTTTTAATATGGAACCCCCATCAGTCTTATTTATTAGAAAAATTAGAGCCTGTCCAAAACAAAGCCACTCGCTTCCATTCTCAAAAATTCAAAAATTACACGCACACAAGCATTACAAAGAACGAAGTTGATACTTCTTACCTCGCGGAAAGAAGGAGTAGATCCGGACTTGCCTCACTGCACACCTTGTATTATCATTCCCCATCAAAGAGAGATTCGTATTGCCCGCCTGCATTCCACATATCCCCCTCCGCCAAACCCCCACGCACTGATAATTTTCAAAAACTTCAATTGGTCACGCCAAGAACAAAGCACTTTAAATTTTCGCCTCTTTTATTATCCATTTTTGAATGGAATTCCCTACCTGATCACATTTTAACTATTCAGGAATCATCTAACTTCAGAACTACACTTGCAACTTTCATAAACACTAATCCCCATGTAAGTTTTTTTTTTTTAAATGTGTGTGTGTGTGTGTGTGTAATTTGTTAATAATAAATTAAATTAAATGAAAAGCAATTTAACAAATCAATATCAAGAGACAGAGATCGAGCCTCCAGCAAGCAGTGAATAAATTATCCTTGGGTGAGAAAATGACATGTGCTCCCTCGCTCAGTGGAAAGGCATATGCGTGCAAAGTATAGATGCCATTGACGTACTCCGATTTTTCACTCTCTAAGTTTTCATTATATATTATACTAGTAATATACAACTGGGATTACAACTCCGTGACTCATGACATTCAAGCT